TAGTGTTATCTTTTGCAATGAATACATATAAGCTATTTTCTAAATGCAACTCAGCAGTCTCAAGAGCTACTACTAGTAGACAATTCAGTGTATAACTGGACACCCCCTCTCACTTACTTTCCTTTCCCTATTTTTTTAATTTATTTTTTTTTTATCTTTTATTTAATGAATATAAATTTCCAAAGTACGACTCATGGGTTACAATGGCTTCCCCCCCCATACCGTCCCTCCCACCCACAACCCTCCCCTTTCCCACTCCCTCTCCCCTTCCATTCACATCAAGATTCATTTTTGATTATCTTAATATACAGAAGATCAGCTTAGTATACCTTAAGTAAGGATTTCAACAGTTTGCTCCCACACAGAAACATAAAGTGAAAAATAATAGATGATTTTTTTTTAAATGATGATGAAATCAGATCAGACCTATTGTCATGTTTAATCCCAGTGAGAGTCAAGTTGGGAATTGATAATTTCTTTTTTTTTTTCTTTTTTTTTTTTTTTTACAGAGGATCAGTTTAGTGTACATTAAGTAAAGATTTCAATCGTTTGCACCCCCATAGAAACACAAAGTGAAATATACTGTTTCAGTACTCGTTATAGCATTAAGCCTCAATGTACAGCACATTAAGGACAGAGATCCTACATGAGGAGTAAGCGCACAGTGACTCCTGTTGTTGACTTTACAAATTGACACTCCTGTTTATGGCATCAGTAATCTCCCTATGCACCAGTCATGAGTTTCCAAGGCTATGGAAGCCCCTTGAGTTCTCCGACTCTTATCTTGTTTAGACACGGTCATAGTCAAAGTGGAGGTTCTCTCCTCCCTTCAGAGAAAGGCTCCTCCCTCTTTGAAGACCTGTTCTTTCCACTGGGATCTCACTTACAGAGATCTTTTTGCCAGAGTGTCTTGGCTTTCCATGCCTGAAATACTCTCATGGGCTTTTCAGCCAGATCCGAGTGCCTTTAGGGCTGATTCTGAGGCCAGAGTGCTATTTAGGACATCCACCATTCTATGAGTCTGCTGAGTATCTCACTTCCCATGTTGGATCACTCTCCCCTTTATTTATTCTATCGGTTAGTGTTAGCAGGTACTAGACTTGTTTATGTGCTCCCTTTGACTCTTAGTCCTTTCATTATGATCAATTGCGAACTGAAATTGATCACTTGGAATAGTGAGATGGCATTGGCACATGCCACCTTGATGGGATTGAACTGGAATCCCCTGGTATGTTTCCAACTCTACCAATTGGGGCAAGTCAGCCCGAGCATGCCCCAAATTATACATCTCTTCCCTCTCTTATTCCCACTCTTATGTTTAACAGGGATCACATTTCAGTTAATTTTCAACACTTAAGAATAACTGTGTGATAATTACAGAATTAAACCAGTCATATTAAGTAGAACAGACAAAAAAAAATACTAAGAGGGATAATGTATTAAGTTGTCCATTAGCAGTCAGGGCTATGCTGATCACGTCACCATTTCTCATAGTGTCCATTTCACTTCAGGAGGTTTCCTTTTTGGTGTTCAGTCAGTTGTCACCGATCAGGGAGAACATATGGTATTTGTCCCTTTGGGACTGGCTTACTTCACTCAGCATGATGTGTTCCAGATTCCTCCATTTTGTTGCAAATGACTGGATTTCGTTGTTTCTTACTGCGGTATAGTATTCTAAAGAATACATATCCCATAATTTCTTTATCCAGTCTACCGTTGATGGGCATTTAGGTTGGTTCCAGGTCTTGGCTATTGTGAATTGTGCTGCAATAAACATTAGGGTGCAGACCGCTTTTTTGTTTGTCAATTTAAACTCCTTTGGGTAAATTCCAAGGAGTGGGATGGCTGGGTCGAACGGTAGGGTTATATTCAGGTTTCTGAGGAATCTCCAGACTGATTTCCATAGTGGCTTGACCAGTTTGCATTCCCACCAACAGTGGGTTAGTGTCCCCCTTTCCCCACATCCTCGCCAGCATCTGTTGTTGGTAGATTTCTGTATGTGAGCCATTCTAACCGGGGTGAGGTGAAACCTCATTGTGCTTTTGATTTGCATTTCCCTGATTGCTAGTGACCTTGAACATTTTTTCATGTGCCTGTTGGCCATTAAAAATATGGAACGCTTCACGAATTTGCGTGTCATCCTTGCGCAGGGGCCATGCTAATCTTCTCTGTATCGTTCCAATTTTAGTATATGTGCTGCCGAAGCGAGCACGTCTGCTTGTATTTCTAAAATACTTATTTAACTTATTTGCTTTTAACTGGATAAATATTCACACACATATACATCTTTTGGTTCTACTTTTTTTCATGTAATATTCTATTGTCATGATTCATTCATACTGTTACATGTCTTAATTATTTATTGCTGTGTAACAAACTAGTCCCAAACTTGGTAGGTTAAAAACAGAACACATTATCTCAGTTTGTGTGGCTCAGGAATCCTGATTAAAGCTCATATAGGGCTGGCACCGTGGCTCACTAGGCTAATCCTCCACCTGTGGCACCAGCACCCTGGGTTCTAGTCCCAGTCGGGGCTCCAGATTCTGTCCTGGTTGCTCCTCTTCCAGTCCAGCTCTCTGCTGTGGCCCGGGAGTGCAGTGGAAGATGGCCCAAATCCTTGGGCCCTGCACCCGCATGGAAGACCAGGAGGAAGCACCTGGCTCCTGGCTTTGGATTGGCGCAGCGCGCCGGCCATGGCAGCCATTTGGGGGATGAACCAACGGAAGAAAGACTTTTCTCTCTGTCTCTCTCTGTCAGCTCTGGCTGTCAAAACAAACAAACAAATAAACAAACAACTCATATAGATCCTCTATGTGAATTTCTCTCAGGAGTCTACTATCAGGTTACAGCCTGATGTTTGATTTATCTTTAGTTAAGCTGGGGCACTTCAACTTCCAAGCTCACTCAATGGTTGGCAGAATTAAGTTCCCCATAGGTTATGGGACTCCAGACCTCAGTTGTTATTGGCTGTTACTAGAGTTGCCCTTGGTTCCTTGAAAAGTGGCTCTGTCCATCGCAGCATATGAGAGCCAGAGAGAAAATGCCTGGGGCCAGCGTTGTGGCTCATTTGGTTAATCCTCCACCTGTGGCGCCAGCATCCCATATGGGCACAGGGTTCTAGTCCTGGTTGCTCCTCTTCCAGTCCAGCTCTCTGCTGTGGCCTGGGAAGGCAGTGGAGGATGGCCCAAGTCCTTGAGCCCCTGCACCCGCATGGAAGACCGGGAGGAAGCACCTGGCTCCTGGCTTCGGATTGGTACAGCTCTGGCTGTTGCGGCCATCTGGGGGTGAACCAACGGAAGGAAGACTTTTCTCTCTGTCTCTCTCTCACTGTCTATAACTCTACCCTTAAAAAAAAAAAAAAAAAAGAGCCAGGGAGAAAATGCCTGTAAGAGAAGAACCACAGTCTATTGTAAATAAATTGTGGAAGTGACATCCGCTACTGTTGCTATGTTCTTTTCATTAGAAGCAGGTCACAATGTCCAGTCCACACTCAGGAAATCACACAGGGTGTGAATACCAGTAGGAGGTCAGGGTAAGCATTGACAGCCATGTGAGTTCACCACATGGTACACCCCTGTCAACTGCTATATACGATTTTGTGAGATTTTGCCACAGTTTATGCTCCTCTTCCAGGTTGTTTGCTGTTGTGAACAGTGATGCCAACAACATTTTTTTTAAAAAGATTTATTTTGTTTATTTGAAAGACAGAGTTAGAGAGAGTGGTAGAGACAGAGAGAGAGGTCTTCCATCCGCTGGTTCACTCCCCAGATGGCTGCAACGGCCAGAGCTGTGTTGATCCAAAGCCAGGAGCCAGGAGCTTCAGGGTGCAGGGGCCGAAGGACTTGGGCCATCTTCTACTGCTTTCCCAGGCCATAGCAGAGAGCTGGATCAGAAGAGGAGCAGCCGGGGCTAGAACTGGCATCCACCAGCGTTTAAGGCCAGGGTTTTAACCTGCTGTGCCACAGCGCCGGCCCCCCAAAACATTCTTTACATATAAGAGGACTGTGCTGCTCTTCTCTGAATCCTTCTCAATTGGAACTGTATTCCGGCACAGAAAGCACCATTAAGACTTCTTTGATTGATTCTACCTTCAGTTAATTTAGTCTTTTCTAAACTCCTGTAACATTTCTTCTGTTATGGCACTTACCACTTACCCCTTGTCAATTTTCATTATTTTGTGCCTATTTTTTTCCCTTGAAATAGTGAGTTTTTGAGTGCAGTGATAAATTTGATGTGTTTTTTTTTTTTTGTAATTTTTTTTTTTTTTTTGACAGGCAGAGTGGACAGTGAGAGAGAGAGACAGAGAGAAAGGTCTTCCTTTTGCCGTTGGTTCACCCTCCAATGGCCGCCATGGCTGGCGCACTGCGCTGATCCGAAGGCAGGAGCCAGGTACTTATCCTGGTCTCCCGTGGGGTGCAGGGCCCAAGCACTTGGGCCATCCTCCACTGCACTCCCTGGCCACAGCAGAGAGCTGGCCTGAAAGAGGGGCAACCGGGAAAGAATCTGGCGCCCCGACCGGGACTAGAACCCGGGGTGCCGGCGCCACAGGCGGAGGATTAGCCTATTGAGCCATGGCGCCGGCCTTTTTTTGTAATTTATATAGTGGCTACACAGCATTTGGTGTGACGGCAATTCAGTAGTTTCTGTAAAGTGCGCGTATTTTTGTGTATAATGCCTGGAAAACCGGGACAGGCATTTGGCATAGTGGTTGTCACTGCTTGGAATACCTGCCTCCCTTATCAGAATATGTGGTTCAAGGCCCTGTTCTTCTGTTTCTGATCCACCTTCCTATCTAGCTTCCTGCTAATATGCATCCTGGGAGGTAGCAGATGGTGACTCAAGTACTTGGGTTCCTGCCACCCACATATGAGACCCAGATGGAGTTCCTGGCTCTTGGAATTTGGGGAGCAAACTAGCAAATGGAGGACCTCTCTCTCTCTCTCTCTCTGTTTGCCTTTCAAATAAAGAAATAAATGAAACTTTTTTTGTTTTTTATTTAGGTAATTGTGGAATTAATGGAGCCAGAAGGACCCTCAGAATCAGTGAGTTCAGAAAAATCAGTATTTTTTTCATCTCATGAAGACGATAATCAAGAATCAGAATCGGAATCCGCAGGCACCGCGAACCCTCTCCTACAGCCTGCTCTCACAGGGGACGTCGAAGGTCTGCAGGAGATCTTCGAGGATCCTGAGAATCCTCATCATGAACACGCCATGCAGCTAGTCTTGCAAGAAGACATTGTCGGGAGAAATTTGTTGTATGCGGCTTGCATGGCTGGGCAAAGTGGCATTATTAGAGCCTTGGCAAAATATGGCGTGAATCTGAACGAGAAAACTGCCAGAGGTATTTTGCCTTTTTTCCCTCATTGGTGTATGAGTACCTGAAGATGCTGTTTACTGTCCTTAAGGTTGGGTGATTTTTTTTTAGCATTTTATTTATTTATATTTATTTGAAAGGCAGAGAGAGAGGGTGAGAGTAAGAGAAAGAGAGATGTCTGTTGGCACCGCGGCTCACTAGGCTAATCCTCCGCCTGCGGCGCCAGCACACCGGGTTCTAGTCCCGGTCGGGGCGCTGGATTCTGTCCCGGTTGTCCCTCTTCCAGGCCAGCTCTCTGCTGTGGCCAGGGAGTGCAGTGGAGGATGGCCCAAGTGCTTGGGCCCTGCACCCCATGGGAGACCAGGATAAGCACCTGGCTCCTGGCTCCTGCCATCGGATCAGCGCGGTGCGCCGGCCGCAGCGCGGCGGCTGCGGTGGCCATTGGAGGGTGAACCAACGGCAAAGGAAGACCTTTCTCTCTGTTTCTCTCTCTCACTGTCTACTCTGCCTGTCAAAAAAATAAATAAATAAAATAAAATAAAAAAAATAAAGAGAGAGAGAGAGAGAGAGAGAGAGATGTCTTTCATCCACTGGTTTACTTCCTAAATAATACATGGCACACAATAGCAATGGCCGGACCTGTTGAAAGCCAGGATCCTGGAACTTAATTTGTGTCTCCCACATACGAGGCAGAGACCCCAGTACTTGTGCCGTCATCTGCTGCCTCCCTGGGCATGTATTAGCAGGAAGCTGGATTAGAAGTGGAGGGGGGACTTGAGCCCAGGCACTGCAGTGTGAGTGTGCTAAGCAGTACCCTAAGTGCTGTGTCAAATATCTGCCCTGTAGGTTGGACACATTGGATTTGCCTGCTTTATGCTTCTCATGGATTATCAATATATACATATGTGAGCAGATGCCTATAATACATGTGAATGTATCAGTTTTGATTCTGGATGACAGTATTTAAGAATATAAGCTTCACTGATAGCTGGGTGTGTTGGCAACTTACATAATCTTTTTGAGTCTGTTTCTTCATCTGCAAAAAGGAGATAATTATATTTACATATAAGGTGTATGAAGATGAAGTATGATAATAAGCATAACTATTTCAGTGCTTGGCACATAGTAATGTTGCTGTTATTTCTTTTCTTTGAAAGCTCACTAGGTTTTAGCAATTATTTAGCTCTTTTCATTCAGTTATATTTTCACGTTGCAAATGTAATACATGATCATGGTAGAAAATAAAAAGAGAAAAATTATCTCCAGAAAATAAGGAATATATTTTCTCTTGATGCTCATATGCAACATTTTAAACAATCAACCAAATGTGAGGCCATAAAGAAAGTCTCAACAAATGTCAGTGAATCAGTAGCAGGTAGTCGTTTTCCTCTGACTGCAACAAAATCAAATCAGAAAATATATTTAACAAAAAGATGACAAAATATTTTTTTTTAATTTTGGAAATAAAAGCACACTTTAAAGTATATGTTGGCCACAAAAGAAATGAAGGAAACAAAGAAATTCCTATGTGTCAGAACTTGTAGAATACAATTAGAATTAAAATCCTACTTTAATCCGTGTGTTAGAATGTAAGAAACATTGGGGCCAGCACCATGGCTTACTTGGTTAATCCTCTGCCTGCTGCGCTGGCATCCCATATAGGCGCCGGGTTCTAGTCCTGGTTGCTCCTCTTCCAGTCCAGCTCTCTGCTTTGGCCAGGGAAGGTAGTGGAGGATGGCCCAAGTGCTTGGGCCCTGCACCGTATGGGAGACCAGGAGGAAGTACCGGGCTCCTGACTTTGGATTGATGCAGCGCCGGCCGTGGCATCCATTTGGGGGGTGAACCACTGGAAGGAAGACCTTTCTCTCTCTCTCTCTCTCTCTCTCTCTCTCTCACTGTCTAACTCTACCTGTCAAAGAAAAAAAAATGAGAGAGCTGGATTGGAAGTGGACCAGCCGGGTCTCAAACCAGTGCCCATAGCGGATGCTGGCACTGCAGGCGGCAGCTTTGCCCACTACACCACAGCACCAGCCCCATATGGCAGTTCTATTTATAGTTGCATGAGGAACTTCCATGCTGTTTTCCATAGCAGCTCTACTAGTTCACATTTCCACCAATGGTGTGTAACTGTTAACCTTTCTCTATCTTTGCTAGGATTTGTTATTTTTTTTTCTCTTGATAATAAATTTTTTTAAAAGATTTACTTATTTGAAAGTCAGAGTTAGAGAGAGAGGGAGAGATAGATCTTCCATCCACTGGCTTACTCCCCAAATGGCTGCAGTGGCTGAAGCTGGGCCAATCCAAAGCCAGGAGCGAGGAGCTTCTTCTAGGTCTTCCACATGGGTGCAGGGGCCCAAAAACTTGGGCCATCCTTCACTACTTTTCATGAACATTAGCAGGGAGGTGCGTGGGTCAGAAGTGAAGCAGCCGGGACTCAAACTGGCTCCCATATGGAATGCCAGCATTGCAAGTGGTAGCTTTACCTGCTGTGCCAAAATGCCAGGCCCTTTTGATAATAAATTCTAACTGGGGCAAGATGATATTGTGGTTTTGATTTGAATTTCCTGATGATTAATGAGCATTTTTCATATACTTATTTAACATTAAAAAATATTTGTTTGAAATCAGAGTGATAGAGAGAGAGGGAGAGATTTTCCATCCACTGGTGAACAGGTAAGTCTGGATCAGGCTGAAGTCAGGAGCCAAGAAGTCCACCCTGGTCTTCCACAGGGGTGGCAGGTACCCAGGTATTTGTGTCATCTTTTACCCCTTCCTAGGTACTTTAACATGAAACTGGATTGTAAGCAGAGTAGCCGGGACTCAAACCAGCACTGGTAAAAGAGAAGCCAGCATTGCAAACAGTGGCTTAACTGGCTGTGCCGCAGTGTCATCCAATTTGTTGGCTACTTGTACGTCCTCTTTTGAGAAATTTCTATGCAAATGACTTGCCCATTTGAAAATCAGAATTTTTTTTTGGCTTTTGAGTTCCTTAAATATTCTGGAAATAAATCCTTTATCAGATGAATAGATTATAAATATACTCTCCCATTCTGTAGGTTGTCTCTTTATTGCTTCTGTTGCTATACAGCAGCTTGTTGGTTTGATATAATCACATTTGTCAATTTTTCCTTTTGTTGGCTGTGCTTTGGGGGTAATTTCCAAAATAATAATCACCCAGGTCAAAGTTCTGAAGCATTTTCTGTATATTTTATTCTTTTTTTTAAAAGATTTATTTTATTTATTTAAAAGACAGAGCTACTGGAGTTACAGAGAGAGGTAGAGACAGAGAGGACCATCCACTGGTTCACTCCCCAGATGGCCGCAATGGCCGGAGCTGCAGTGATCCGAAGCCAGGAGCCAGGAGCTTCTTCCTGGTCTCCCATGCGGGTGCAGGGGCCCAACGACTTGGGCCATCTTCTACTGCTATCCCAGGCCATAGCAGATTGCTGGATGGGAAGAGGAGCAGCCGGGGCTAGAACTGGCGCTCATATGGGATGCTGGCGCTTCAGGCCAGGGCATTAACCCGCTGCGCCACAGTACCGCCCCCAGTGTATATTTTATTCTAGTAGTTGATGGTTTTGGTTCTTACATTGAAGTCTTTGACCCGTTTTGAGTTAGTCTTTGTATATGGTGAGGGGTTCGGGCTAATTTATTCTTCAGCATATAGATAGCCAATTTTCTACACACCGTCTATGGATGTGTTCTTGCTATTTTTGCTGAAAATAAGTAGACTGTAAATATATGTATTAAATTCTGGATCCTCTGTTATTTTCTCTTGGTTTGTGTGTCTGTTTCTGTGCTAGTGCTATACTATTTTGGCTATTATGGCTTTGTAGTATATTTGGAAGTTAGAGATTGTAATGTCTCTAGGTTTGTTACTTTTTTTCTGGATTGCTTTGATTTTTTTCAGTCTCTCGTGATTCCATACAAATTTTAAGATTTTTTTCTAGTTCTGTGAACAATGTCATTATATTTTGATAGGGAATTACATTGAATATCTGTTGGTCAGCTTGGGTAGTATAGGTATTTTAACAATATTAATTCTTCCAATCCATGAAATGGGGATGTCTTTCCCTTTTTGTGTGAGTATCTTCCTCAGTTTCTCACATCAGTATTTCACAATTTTCATTGTAGAGATCACTCACTTCCTTGGTTAAATCTATTCCTGGGTATTTTGTTTTTCTTTTATAGCTAGTATATTATACACCTAAATATATAAATGCATATATATTAAAATATAAATGTGTAAAGCTATATTATAGCTTTCGTAGCTGTGAATGGGATTGCTGTCTTGATTTCTTAGCAGTGTTGTTATTTATGTTTAAAATTGCTGCTTATTTTTGTGTGTTGATTTTTTTTATCCTGCAATGTTACTGTATTAGGTTATGCTTTAACAGTTTTCTGGTTGGAGTCTTTAGACTGTATAAAATAATGTTGTCTGCTCCAATTTTTATTTCTCAGTTAACAGGAAAAGTAGTTAAGTAAAGGGCATTTTAATTTCATACGGAAAGGCTTTATGGACTAGATTGGGTTTCCCTCATGAATGAGGAATGGTTTTCACCTAAAATACACCGTGTAATTCACTACATTCAAAGAATAAGCAAAACATGATCATGTCAATAGACATAGAAAAGTCATTTAATAAAATGTAGCGCCCACTCGTGATGACAGCTCGTAGGGAAATAAGAATAAAGTAAATCTTCCTGAATATTCTCCACTAAAACCTGAAGCAAATTTACCTAACATCAAGTTATCAAGAATATTCTTTAAAATGAGAAATAAGGGTATGATATTCACTGTTAGGGCTTCCTTTCACTGTTTTAATGGAGGCCCTCTGAAGTGCAGTAAGAAAAAAATATGCAATACTTCTGTGCCATAGCCAACTCTTAGCAATTAAGAGGAGCCCATTGTTAAATTTTCAAGGGTTTTGGGGCCGGACTGTGTCGCAGTAGGTTCATCCTCTGCCTGCAGTGCCAGTATCCCATTTCGGTGCCAATTCTAGTCCCGGCTGCTCCTCTTCCCATCCA